CCGCGACCATTGGTTCATTCGCTGAGCTGGACGACTCTTAATGGAGAGACAATTTCTGTGCATCGTTCTGTGCGCAAGCTATGCTGTGTCAGCGATTATTCTTTTAGCACCATTGTTTAGGGAGGGCCGAGCGGCTCGAAGGCACCGAGTGACTACTGAATATACACATGATACAATAGCACATCTGTGTTTGTGAACACTTGTTTGCAGCCAATCACCGAAAGTCGTGTACATTGATAAATGTAATAACCAATTAACATAGAGCATAAACTAGTTTGACCGTCTGAGCACAGCAACACGGATGTCATCCAAGTCGACGGATGACAACAGTGGCTAGGATCAAATAACACCACGGCTGATGCAAGCGTGCTCAAGAAAATGACCCCGAAAAAATTCTGTGCCGACGTGTCGCCATCCTAAATGAATCATTAAAATTGTCTCCGGCCCGTTTAGAACAAATGTATCGGGTGGAACATATGATTCCCAGATGACCAAGGCCTAGGCATGCGCACCACAAGAGGGAACATGGAACGCCAGGTAAGACACGAGTACATGACAGCTCCAGAAACAGAATATACATCAAACGACAGTATACGATGATCTAGTGGTGACCCAGGTTGCTTTTCTATTGGCTGAGTGGACCGATCGGGCTAGCGATGGAGTCATCTATCACTGATTGCAGGTGGAATAGAGGCGCCTCGTTTTCTACTTCCAAACAGACCCAATAAGAACTGAACACCATGTTAATCCAAAATGACACTGAGTTCATGCAGAAGCAATGAGATGTTGAGCGTTGGTACTGTATCATTAAAGCCCAATTCAATTGAACTGACATGGTTGTACGACAGTGAAGCGTCAGTGTTCCTCGCTGGTATTGCTATCAATGATGATGATAAATGAAGATGAGGTGTTCATGGTGGAAAACGCGCAACTCCGCAAAGTGTACTGCGGATGGTTGTGAATTAGATGAAATACGAGTGAATTAAACATGGAACTGAAGTAGTTCAAAGTAGTTTGACTCTTGGCTCCTATGCTTTCACGTGAGATGGTCACAAATGGTACGAATCGCTGATATTCTCAGTGTATTATGCTGAAAGTAAACTTCAACGGAATAGTTGTGATGAGTGACTGATTCCTATGGAAAAGCACTGGAAAATAATCATCGCCAGTGAAAATAAGAACTGAATGAGCATTTCCGTCTCTGAAGATGGACTGGATCCGTTGCACACCACAGAGTGGTTAAGTATGAGTAGCACCACACTGTTTCCAGTAAAACCATTTGATCTGAGACTGATATTTCCGGAAAGATCATCTCCGAATTAGCTAGAATGTTCACGAAGTGTCATTTCCCTTTTCATTAAAGACCAAGATGAAAGATTCGTGCGTTGGGCTTCCTCACATGCGGGTAGCAAGTACATGAACGACCATTCGTAGTCAATATCATCATCATTGATACTAATACGGCAGTAATACTTGACGACGCTTAACTGTCACATAAGCATGAGGGAGGAAAGTCTCCGCTACAATGAGACTTGACGTTACCGTGGTCTGACGGTTTGAGTGCCTCCGTGACGCATTGAGCTATACTGGGTAGTGTGCATGCGATACTCACAGAGTCTTTCATACCAGTTTGGTGAAAGGTTAGGGGCCCGACTAACACAGTTTCCTTGCCATCCAGGTTGGGAGTTAGAACATGTGTGGCGACGTGCTCTATAAAAATGGTAACGCAATGGTGTTTCCCGCCGAATACCGCTGTTTTCCGGTCAGGCTTTTGGGCCAAAGGTTTTGGTTGGGAGCACTATTCGTCCTCTTGTATAGGCCTGGGCGCCCTCTCAGTATCGCTCCCCATGTACAACCATGATGACACTTACAACTAACAATACCCTCATGCAACATCGGCCGTCGCGTGATGTCACCAGCCGGGTCGTCTTACTTCTTGCAAACACCATGGCGGATAAGCAGGGACATACTACTGCCGACTCCTCGCTTCTTAAACTTTCGCGTCCTTACTCTTCTACCCTATCCCACCCAAGTTTGAGTACCCTTTCCGAAGGATTGGTCGCATTGTTCACCGTGCATCAGACCCAGCTGCAGTCTCTGTACGTTCGAATGCACTGACAACCCCGAACACTACGACACCTGTTTTCAAATCACGAAAGCCGATCCTACTTGGCTGCCTTTAATGTTCGAACACTGAGACCAAATGAGCAGGTGGCTCCTGCTCGTACGCTGGATTCCCTCTGCATTGACATATGTTGCCCGTTGAACTGACTACCCGCTCGCACTCTTCCCGGTTCTGGCTGCGCAGCTCTGGTGGTGCAGAGGCCGTTGCAACTGGATATGTGGGGGCTGGTGCCGTACTGAGCCACCGAGCGGAAGCGTCTTTACTTGATTGGATACCCGTTGATAGTTGCCTCAGCGCAGTTCGTTAGGTAAAGTCCATGACAATGTAGTCCATCGCAACCTACTTCTTTTGTCTGCTTAGGCCCCAAAAGATGGTAGCTCTGAATCTGTCAAGAGTTTCTATGAAGCCGCATGTGCTCTTTTGCAATCGGATAAAAGCTCATATGTCGTTGAGGTTGCTGGTGGAAGGACCGTTCAGGTAGTTAGATGTAGCGCATATGTCGCACGAACCTACTGAAAAATATTCGGGTATTCACGGCTTTCTGGGCCTTTTCCATTTTCTTGGCTCCCGTATCCACCAGACTTCACGGTCGCCGTGCACGCTCGCTTTCACTTGACGTCTGATAATTCGTCGGGTAAAACTGTGTTCTGGAACAGTAGAGATACTTTTGCGAAACTTAAGCAGTGTCACAATTTGGTTTGATATCCCGTGCTTGAGTGGGGCCGATAGCGCTGCGCCACAGGCAAAACTCTCAACACTGTGGAAAGAGGTGGCGATCTCGTACCAGATGGTGGAGCAGTTGGAAGAGATTCTGGCTGACTCTGGTAAATTCGTCTAACATCCGCATTTGCCAGTATCTCAGTTAACTGTTAGTCCGCAACTTATGCGGCCCTGGAAAATGAGAGAAAAGACTCCGGACGAGCGCGTGGTCGGAATCCAAAACGAGCGTCTGCCGCCTACCGAGACCCGTGTTGTGCTCTGTGCCTCCTTCAGAATGGCGCAAACTGCGAGGTGGACAACGTATGACTTCGGAGAAGGGTGTCAGAGAGATTACGAAGAGTTTGGGTGCAGTATGCTTCCCAGGAAGGGGTCCCCGTGGGCACTTGGCTAAAGATACTGCAAGACATGGCGGCTGATCGGTATCAATGCCTTTGGTGTTGTCGGTTTCTTTCCAGACTGTTCGACTGAGCGCTTGGAGGTGTAGGCAGCTCACAATGTTCGTATTAGCCCCTTCATCATCCACTCTTTTCCCTAATTTTAATTCTACAGCTTGATATATAATAAGATAAACTTTTTGGTTGTATGGTATCAGCATCAGTGTCAACCCTGATGATGCTGTCTCTGATCATGACCCTTAGAAGGAAAGGCTAAGCAGTGTAGAAGAAAAGGAAAAGGTGGAGACTAAGTGCGAACAAGCCCCATGTCCTTAGGGGAAATTCGCAGTAGACAGGTCTGTTTCCTACGTGGTGACACATGTCCATTTCAGCTACGTGAGCCTAGGTTACCGCGGTGATTATTCTAAATATGCTCCTTCAGAAGAAGTTTACTATCTCGGGGATGACACCACCTGATTCCCGGTCATCTACAACCCTCTAGGAAGACCAAATATCATGTCGCTGTACTGTATTCTTTGTGGATTACTTCAATGAAGCACAGGTGAGTGTCGCGGAAATTTGACCATTCAAGCGTTTCAGCCTACATAAATGGTTCCGTGATATGCACAGCCTAGGAGGCTCTAGTCCCTCATGTACCTCTCATTAGCACCAGACTGGCTGGCTGGCAAGTAATTCAGGTGGGTCGTGTGATATGCGCACAAAGCAACCCACCGCAGGGCGGGTTTGTAAAGACCAATCGGTCCGCTTCAGATAGTACAATCGCAGAAGCATGTGCAAGTTCCTCGGATGGTCGCGTGATGGTGGTTGTAAAAGTTGAAAAAGGCTATGAAAACATTCAACAAAAAAGGTACATATTGTGAATTGGGATGGTGGACAATCTCATCCCCCAGGATCTCCCTCAGAGATTTTTTGTTTCCTCAGAATGCTAAACCGAAGTTTTATTTGTATCAGACAAAGTTCAGAACACGAGCCTAAAACGCACCACCTTCGTCAGATGATCGACGATCTGAGACTTTCAAGTAACCTAGTCCTGACTGAAGCAACCAAAGAAAAGCGTAGAAAGTCCATGGTCAGCAGAAGGGTCCAACCAAGGGTCTCAACGAATAAAAGACGCACTTGGGGATTTCAAAACAATCTATTTTCTTGTAAGCCATGGCCAGACGTCCAATCTTTCCGAAGCGAAACCTAATGCCTTTTTTCCGAGATGAGTTTGTTTAACGGGGGCAGCAGTTGAGGTGCAAACCATGCCAATGAAGTGATAGTAAACAAAGTCCACAAATCGATGCGAACAATCATACAGTACTTATAGTCAGTTCCATCAATTTCTGTGGACAAAGGACAAGATCACAACAAGGAAACCGGAGATCACTGGTTCGAAATTAATCTGTGTAATTTTCGTGCTAGGATATCCTCATGCTTTCCATCAAATATGTCGATAAAAAAGTCCTACCGCGATCCGATACGCACGCACTCAACCACATACATATCACTGCAGTCACCTCGCCCGGTGGTTAAACCGATGCAAGGTAGTTAATCGAATAAGCGAGGAGATCAACGACCATACGACGTCTTATTAATATCATTTACCATCATTTATTCCGTAACGTGAGGCTGTCTGTAGTGAAACAACTATTCCAGTGAACAGCATTCGAAAATCCTCCCCGTTAGGTTCCACAGAATTTCACGCAGCAAAACACACACTTGTGTCAGTAAAAAAGGATGTAAATTCCAAAGGAAGGCAGGAACAGGATATGACTTACAGAGAGCAGCTGACAGCAAACACTGTCCCACCAGAGATTGAGTCGATCGATATTGACGAGACCAACCTCCGTCAGCTTAAAGACCGGAAACTGGCTGGGATTCTGAAACATGAAACAACAGTAGGATTGTTGATACAGTAAAAACCCCTTCAATTACGGATTGTGATATCGGAAGACCAAACTGTATATCCTGTTGTGATTCGTGGATTCGTTTTCAACTAGCTAAAATTGTTTGGTCTGTTAATGCAAAGTCCATCTTAAACAACAGGGATCAATAGCGGAATTAATCCTCGAAGCTCAACATCGTTATACGGACCGTGTTTTGCGTCCCGTCCAGCAACGCGTCATTTGCAGCACACACTGAATGTAAACGTTTGTGTCTCTTGTTGGGATAGACGGAGTGACTTCAACTCTAACGGGAACTCTACTTGTAAGTTCATGAGTGGGTCAGAAAATGTTCATGAGTTAGGAGTATCCCCTATTGGCGGAGGGGAGTGCACATCACATATTTGGTCCATGTGTCTAGGCTCCACGCAGATGTACATGGTGTATTAACGGTCTCACAAGGTTTGAAATCTGAAAATGAAAATCAGAACTCATCACTGATAACCACTTTCATGTCCAAAAGTCAGCCACGCTAAATTCGCTAACTGCCAACCAGAAAAACACAACCATAGAGTTTTTGGTCCATTATATAACAAGCCGTAAGAATCGGCAGAAAAACTTCAACCGTGACTGAAACTCCAGGTTGAAAATCTCACCTTATTCACGCTCGCCAATTCCATGGCCTCAGATGATAGTTGGCACAGCCCCAAAATTAGATCATTCAAAGCGGTCGCATCAAGCTCGCTGGGGATTAGAAGACACGGTGACAACAGTGTGATGCTAACCATGGAGGAAAACTACGTTAATGGATCTCGCACAATAGGGATATGGGTATATGCACTGTTGAGTAAACAAGCGGATGATTCAGCGTAATACCAGAAAGAAATATAAATCAGTTAAAAAGCGTTTGGAAGTGAAATTATATTGGTGGATTGTTGAACACGTATGAGAAGTAAGTAGTGATTGTCTGAAGATAAGTGTCCCTAATATCATACAATGCTATTTCTAAACAGTCAATTTCTCAACTGACTTCAGAAGGGTGGTCAACAGGTTTGGCTCTCTAATCCTGGTTGTAGAGCAGGCTAACTAGAGTGATCTACACTTGAAAAAATTTACAGATTGTCTCTAAAAAGAGACAAATGCATTCAATAACGAATGCTCCGCCTAAAAAGGCGTCACTGGAGGAAGAGTGTAGCCTATCTTTGGGAATGACCACAGGGGGGGTTATAGTGAGTTTTTAAAAGGGAAACATTAGCTTGTCAGGTAGGCTGGTACTAGCAAAACATCAAGACATACGTAAGCTCGGGCAAGAGGATGAATAATTCGGATTGTCATGACTACGTGAACCACAATTTTCGTAATTCTCCCCTATATTTTCGGCTCATGTACTACCAATATTTGACGATTAGAGCGTACATTACGCCCTTCTCCTGTCTCCCTTCTAATCACGACCTGGAATCACTCGACTCTCGCAACACATTTGCTAAGCAAAACTAGTCTAGGCGACAGGCCAGGAGCTGAGAGATTCCTGCAAAAGCAAAGAAAACATACTTGGAGCGAGTGAATAAGGCGGATAACATTGAAGACAGAACAGCAAGATCGTTTGTCGCAGATGAACTGAGTAGAGGAGTACCAGATTGTGCCTGATTACCAGGTGCACTCGCAAGTGGACCATCCGGAGGCTTGGCAACCGCAGTACTAGAAGTAGGAAGCGGTTTGAAATACAGTTGGGCGACTGGTTCAACTTTCAAGCTCAACATCCAAACCAAATTCTGAAAACAATGACAAGGACAATAAGCGAAGGTATGATGTACTAGTAAAATATACCAGATGAAGAACTCCATTGTGACAGAGACGTATATAATAAGAACAAAGTAGACCTAAGTGGGCGATCTAGTTATAGAGAACTGCCAGAACAGTGAGGCAAGATCAAACTACACTACGGTTATTCTGCTTTCACCAAGGCTTAACACCCGGTTGGGTGGTCACTGAAAGGCTGAAGCTGCAACCAAACTGACGAAGAATAGAGCCGTTGTCTGTTAGCATTGGCTTTCCGGGAGGCCAAAGGATAACCCTAAAAGTCAGGAGGTGCCGCTAATAGCAGAATCCTCCGGCGATATTGATCCCTTGCATTAGCGGGCCACACAAGACCCTATTACTAGACCTACTACTGCATCTGGTCGAAAACAATTCAATTCCGGTGATCCTGATGATAGCGCCCGAAAAGTGTCAAACTAGGCTATCCAGCTTGGAGAACCAGTAATGTCTGTGTGAGAACACTGGATGACCAGATCAGTTTAATCACCTAAAGCCTTAAAATGAACAGAAGAACAAAGAGAAGAGAAAACAGTCTGGTGTCTAAGCCGCTAAGCAGTCGCACAGCCAACCCATGTACAAATTGAATGAATCTTGGTCAATGAATTCCACCATTAATCTTCCACCTGGAGGAGCCCGGGGAGAGTAAGAGGTGTAAAAACGTCAATAGTTTTTTCGCAAGGATTAGCCACCTCGTTCCTAGGATGCTTACACGATAAACAGCAGTGAAGCAGGCAACTCAAGATTAGCATATGGTCTGGTGAAGACACAATGCGGGAACAGGTTTGAATGTATCAACTCACAGAAAAACACAAACAACACGCAACTGCGAGTGCACACTGAAGCTTAGTGGCACAAACAAACATTAGCCAGTCCTGTGAGAAAGGGATAATCGACAAACAATAGGAAGTTCGCGTTCGGATGAGGAAATAAATCAAGTTCGTGAGGTTGAAACGAGAGTCCACGTGCAGCATGGAGCAACAGAGCCGTAACCGGATTAGAGCCAACGAAATCAACTGGCTGTTGGACAGGAAAAGAAAGTTCAAGGACCCGGGTAAACAAGTAGCACACGAGGAGTGTGAAAGAGCTCGTAAATAATACCCCAAGAGACAACTCCTGATAAGTAGGATTTCGGGCATCTAAAATGGGGGTGGGTATGAAAGTGGTTTTGGTAGAACATCCAGCTGCAACAATGAGATTGGATTACATATAACTGGATTCTCGTGATTATTTATAAGCATATTGGCAGCTTGGAAAAATGTAAACTACTATTCCCAAAATAGAAAACGACAAGGAAAGAGTTATGAAATAATGGAATTGCAAACATCCAACCGAAAATACGAATAACAATAAACCAACAACAGCCCACCTGAAAAGTGGACAAGACGATATTCCACGAACAACCAAGAAAGTTTCCGTAAACCTGAGCCATTTCAAGAACTGCGCGAGCCGCTTGCAGATGTTTCACCGTGAGGATCAAAGACCCAGTGGGAGAAGTACCATGGGACTCGGTAGTGCTTACAGAGGAAATCGCTGACGAAGTGGTAGTTGATTGGGGCACGCTTGCAGGTCCTGTTGTGGTGGGCTTTGTGTTAATATTCACACTGTTTCCGACTCCCTGTGTCACTACCACAGCTACTGGACTCCGCTCGAATGCATCCTCATGTGGAATCGCAACAGTCTGAAGAGCAGCTGCACCAGTGGTACCTAAAAACACAAGAACATGAACAGCAGCTAACAATGAATTAGTAAACTTCGAAGCACAGCAACAATTGTAACGAGAATTAATGTGAGAACTCCAAGCTACAAATGATGGAAGAACAGAAAAATATACTGTAAAAGAGGTCGAGTAAATAAAAATTAGTTGCAGTGATGCTTTAAAAGCGCGCGTCACCAATGGAGATCCAACCATAACCAGAGGGATCAGTTCCTATCTCTCAAAATATCGATGACAACAAAACATAGTCTTAGGGGATGCGTGTACGAGTAGTCCCGTAGAACACCTAGCTTCTGCTCTCGTATCGGCAAATTGCAACTTTAAAAAAAGTGTAAGAGGGTATAAAACCTCATCACATCTCAAGCACCGAAAGACCACTGGAATTCGTAATTGTCTCAGTGACCTTAGTTCCCTTCACCTCTGTCAAAACAGATACGTCTGTCTGGAAAAGTAAGTGTGCCCTGGGAGAAGAACCACAGTGTCATATATATATATATATATATATATATCCCGTCTCCCGTGTATCTCCACATATGGAAAGGTCATGCTC